CGAGAAACCGTCTGTGTCCCGAGGCTAGCGAGGCTGTTTTACAACAGCAGTATTGCAGCAGCTCGAAGATATCTCCAGCTGAAAATGAGTCTTGCAGAGGGATTAAAGCTGACAGCAGCTGCTCCCCAGCAGCAGCGTCGGTTTAGGAGCAGGAGCCTCCTGTCAAGTACTCCAAAGGAAAAAAATAAAAAAGAAAAATAAAAACACACAGAAGCACAGAAGAGCCAGGTTTGAAGAAAATCAGAGCTTCAGCTTCAACTCTACCTGGGCTTCTCACCAGCAGCGTTTCAGCCCATCACAAACCAGCCCCAGGATGACCCAGTTGTGCCAAGGTCGCCGGAGCATCGTGTCAGGACCTGCTGCCTGGGGAGAAGGGTGGCTCTGGTGGTCCTGGACATGGGTCCGTGGGGTGACAGGAGGACAGGACAGCTGCGGTGGGAGATGGGGGCTAAGCAGAATGAACAGCATCAGCAGTGACAGAGCTGGGCTTCCCCTGGGAAGCAAACACAGGTGAGCTCAAACCCCAAAAGCACCCATGGGTGTTTGCAAACCCAGAAATAACCTCCACGTCTGGAGCACGGGCACGGGGCGGGGGGGAAACAATACCCACACAAAAACCAAACAAAAAACACACACACTTTGGAGCACAGGGGGGAAAAAAGCCACAACACCCACACAAAACACACAAAAACCAAACAAAAAACACACACAAAATCCAGAAATACACAAAACTGCAGCTCCCACCAGCCTGCAGAGAGCACCCAGCACCCTCCGCTGCAGCGTGCCAGAGGCTGCGGAGCGGACGGACAGCAGGTTACGAGGGCTTGGCTTGAGACAAGGAACTCCCCGTGCCTGGCCATCCTCAGGGCACAAATCCTGTTAGAAACCATCCTTTGGCCACCACAAGCAGGCCCGAGCCCCCAGGAGGGGGACTGCAGAGAAGCGAGGGTGCAGAGCAGCCCAGTTTCACAGAGGTGTGAGTGATTCAGCCTCTCGTCCTTCAGAGGATGATCAGCAGAAGCATCTAGCTGCTGAAGGTTTCTATTTTTATACCTCTATCCAGGCCAAGATATTTAAGTGCCCAAACTCACCTCAGAGAACATCACTACATTTAGTGTCAGACTTGCTAATGAAGACGTTAAAAAAAGCAAAAAACCCCGGTGCCATCACCCAACACAACCCCAGCCAGCCCACGTGTACTGTCACACCGAGGCAGAGCTGGCTCCTGCTCGGTGAAACCACCAAGTCTCATTCCTCGGCCAAAAAGCCCTTCAGGAAGAACACAGACCCCATGGCTCGATTTTCATGGGTTCCACATTCCCACCCTGGTGAGGCAGAAGGAAGGTGTCTCATGATTTTTCTGTCTTAGAAACGACTAGAGGGGGTTCAGCCGCAGCCCTGTGGGGAAGCCCATGGGTAACGTGGCTGCTGGGACAC